TGAGACTGCAGACGTCCTGCATGATTGATCAGGACACTCACAGCATCTTTTCGTGTTTATTACTCATTTGACTTCAGATGGAATTCAGATTTTCAGGTTCAGAGAGTAGAACCCTGCAGAGTAGAAACATACAGAGTAGAAACATGCAGAGTAGAACCTGCAGAGTAGAACCTGCAGAGTAGAACCCTGTAGAGTAGAACCCTGCACAGTAGAACCTTGCAGAGTAGAACCCTGTAGAGTAGAACATTGCAGAGTAGAACATTGCAGAGTAGAACCTTGCAGAGTAGAACCCTGGAGAGTAGAACCCTGCAGAGTAGAACCTGTAGAGGAGAAACATCCAGAGTAGAACCTTGCAGAGTAGAACCCTGGAGAGTAGAACCCTGCAGAGTAGAACCTGTAGAGTAGAACCTTGCAGAGTAGAACCCTGCAGAATAGAACCTGCAGAGTAGAACCCTGGAGAGTAGAACCCTGCAGAATAGAACCCTGCAGAGTAGAACCCTGTAGAGTAGAACCCTGCAGAGTAGAACCCTGCAGAGTAGAACCTTGCCGAGTAGAACCCTGCACAGTAGAACCCTGCACAGTAGAACCCTGTAGAGTAGAACCCTGCACAGTAGAACCCTGCACAGTAGAACCCTGTAGAGTAGAACCTTGCAGAGTAGAACCCTGCACAGTAGAACCCTGCACAGTAGAACCCTGCAGAGTAGAAACCTGATCGATGGATCAGAACGTTTTATGTGAATCAGAGCTGGTCAGGCATCATCGACTCTTTACATGCAGGAAATGGCGAGCGCGGAGGTTAAACATACAGACCACGCCCTGCGTGATGGGAAACGCCCACTGATGACATGCCCTCTGTTTCCTGTATGTGTGTGTGTTAAAGGAAGCCGGCGATGCGGGAGGACGTCGTCCCGTCTCTCCGCCCGTTCTCCGTCCCCAGCCACTGTCCTCCTCGCTATTCTCTGACTCACCGCTCGGCTCAAAGCAGCCGCTCACTAAACGCCGCAGGAAGCTGCTGCTGAAGAGCAGCGTGGCGGCGTCCAGCTCCCCCACGGGCCAAGTAGAGGTGGCGCTGCAGCTGGCGAGGATGCAGGAGTCACGGCACCGCCTGCTAACAGATATCTGTGCCCAATACCAGCCGGGAGTGGGCAGGCGGCCGCCGTCGCAGCGGCAGGTGTCACGGGTGTACGTGGAGGAGCGGTCCCGGCTGCTGTACTGCGAGGTGCCCAAAGCCGGCTGCTCCAACTGGAAGCGGGTGCTGATGGTGCTGAGTGGCAGCGCCGCGTCCACACGGGACATTCCCCACGACGCGGCGCATTACGAAAACCGCCTCCCGCGGCTCAGCGGCTACAGTCGTGCTGGCGTTGCCGAGCGGCTTCGCTCCTACACCAAAGTGCTGTTCGTCCGGGAGCCTTTTGAGCGCCTCGTGTCAGCGTTTCGGGACAAGTTTGAGAGCCCCAACTCATACTACCACCCCGTGTTTGGACGGGCCATCATCTCCAGGTACCGAGCCAACGCCACACATGCTGCATTGCGCTCCGGCGCCGGTGTGACCTTCAGGGAGTTTGTGCAGTACCTGCTGGACGTGCGGCGGCCCGTGGGGATGGACATCCACTGGGAGCCGGTGAGCCAGCTGTGCAGCCCGTGCTTCCTGCAGTTCACCTTCATCGGGAAGTTCGAGAGCCTGGAGCGTGACGCCAACTTCCTGCTCCGAAGCATCGGGGCGCCGGCTAACCTCACGTTCCCGGACTTCAAGGACAGGAACCCACTGGCGGAGAGGACATCCTCCAGCATCACGCAGAAGTACTTCTCACAGCTCAACGCCACCGAGCGGCAGAAGGCCTTCGACTTCTACTACATGGACTACCTGATGTTCGGGTACCCCAAGCCCTTCAGCGACCTGCACTGAGCCACTGCCGCGCTCAGCGGGGTGGGACAAGCTGAGGCTGCGTACCTGTGCAGGTGTGAGAGACTCAGAGACTGATTTTTGTGTTTGTGTGTTTTTAACGACTTCTGTGAAGTTTTGTTGAGCCGCGTCCTGCAGAGAGAAGCTGTCAGATAACGGCGGGAATCACATGGATGCTTCCGGGCTCAGACGCCGTGATGTCACACATTGACAACTTTGAGTCAATTGCTCGCGACTTTGAGGCATCAGCCAATCAGATCGCATTTAGCCAAATCTGCTCCAAACGCGGCTGTTGGCGAAAGAAGCTGAGTTGGTCTGCACATGTGCGGAGGAGGATGAGCCGATGTGACCTCTGACCTCGGCGTTGTGGCAAAGACACGGTCGAGATGCTGTTTAATAATTTTTTTAATCAGTGAATCAGGCATAAAAAATATAAAAATGTTTTTCACAAAAATGTCATTTTATTATTTAACATTATGACAGGAAACAGGAAGTATGATGCTGCGCCTGAGCGAGCTCTGGATTATTTTAATAACGACCTTAAATCTGCTCGGGTGGAGGAGTGGCTCAGTTCATCATTTATGTACAGTCTGTTTAAAGCAGGAACAGGAAGTGAGGTAGGAGGTGATGCTGCAAATGTGTTTGTGGTGGTTTTCAGACGACCTCGAAGCCTTAACGCAATAAACGAGACACTCTTTGAACACCTGGAGACTCGCCTCTTATTCTGACACTCACAGCAGGCTGACCTTTGACCTTTGTGCTCAGGTCTGGGTGTAAATAAAGTTTGTTATTATTCACCTGTATTTATTCATCACTGACGCTCTCCCTGTGGACCCAGTTGGACCCTCTAGTGGCCAGTCCAGGCCTGGGAGCCTCATGTTTGATAGCAGAGGCCTAACCTGGGTAACTTCAGGCTTAACCTGGTTTCTATACTGATAAATCACCATGGTAACTTAAGATCAAGATTAAAGATAAATAGGTATGACATCACCGCCTACTGACCAATCAGATCTCCAGAAAATACCATTTTTGGACGACCCCTCGGCCCTCTGAGCTGGAACAGCAGGTCTGTAGTTCATCACCGTGCGATGTCTCGTGTTTCTCTGATCAGTGATTTTTAAAAAGCCGTTACCTTAGAAACAAACAGCAGCACTGAGCGCGCTCGGTGATGAGATACTTTGGCGCTGTGGAGCACCAGAGTTGTGATTTGTGGCGACGAGCTGGGCCCACGTTCTCCGACCCAAACAGGAAAACTGAGTTCACACGAGAATAACTCTGAGCTGAATTAACGAGTGACATTTAAAACGAGGTTAATGC